GATTGTAACAAAGAATGAAAAAAAATGTTCGTATGATCATTTTTTTTTCTGTATATAAAATCTTTTTCTTTTCTTGCATGCGTGTGATTTTTGTTTTGTTTTAAGTTTATTTCAACAAGAATAAGTGAACATGTTTTAACTAAAGTTCAATTATAAAAAAGTCTTTGCTTTTAATTTTACTTAAGATTTTACAGACAATGTTTTTAGTTAAAAATATGCTAGAACTTATCTATATTCGTCGACATTTATCTTATCAAAGATACAAAAATGATTCAACTCTGTTTAAGGATAAAATAGTTGAAATATTTTCGAAATGAATGCATTTGTTTTATGATAAAATTGTCAAGTATTTCGGCAGTTAAATGTTGACATATTATATTTCAATGATCACCTTCAACATACTTTTTTATTTAATTATAAAATTATGTTACAATGAAAAAGATAATCGCGCAATACTTAAGAGACTAGAACATGGTATGATTCATTTAACCATTTCAGTCCATACATTTTTTGCGAAATTCTAAACCTATTTAGAAGTTTAAATATGATTTTTATATTGGTGAAATATGATCGAAAACAAATAGTAAAGTATGGCTAGAAAACTTGAATGTTTCTCTTCTTCGACAGATGGGTGTGGATGTCCGTGTGAGTGGGCATATGTGTGTTTTCAAATAACTCAAACCCACATCCTCAAAAAAAAAAATAAAGTATCTTTAATGCAGCTGCTAGAATGTATAGAGATATCAAACACATGTGTCTATATGGTGTTTAAAAGCTTATCAAATATTATAGATTAACGACATATAAAACCTTCTAGAGAATAAATATACACATTTCATATTCTATTTAATAACGTGAAATCATGGCTTCTTCATGTTTTTCTATGTTGATTCTGATAATAACATATATCGGCTTGTCCACGTGACGCGACACTTCGCCGATCAAGTTTTTAAAACTTTTTTTTTCGAGTTGAACAGATTTGAACAAGCTATTAGACGCAGTTTTTAACGCTGATTACGAATCTGACATTTATTTTATAAAAAAATTAGATTTTATTATCAAAAACTGGGTTTTAAACTTTTGAAAAATCGTATTTCGAGTTTTCTACCCAAGAAAGTTTTCCAAAAATTTGCGAGAGACGTATCATTCAATGCAGAATTGGATTCTCTACAAAATGGCCTATTTATTTTTGATTTTAATAGCTGGTAACAATTTTTAACCTCCAATACTCTCCCCAACTTCCGGTCCAGTTTTTGAGCTCCCTCGTGGATGAATTAATCTGATTCTTTAGTACACGTTTATCTAGACAGTAATGAGTAACCGTTAAAAAATTCAAATCATTCGGACGATATTAACTACCTCAAAAATGGCTCACAAAAAAGTGTGTAACAGCGTTACGTTTGTTTTTTGCATTTTTCACACAAATAAAAATAGCTAAAAGGAAATTTTTTTTGGTTTTAGAAAGCTCGTTTAAAGCTCTACAAACGTAGTTCTAAGAGCATTTCTTTTGAACAAAATATATCGCAAGAAATTAGAGTTTTCTTGGTGATACTGAAGAATAAGGGTCTTTTTATGTAACAGTGTTACGCAACAATGTAACCCTTACAGATATCCGAGGCTTCAACAAAAAAATATCGTTTTTATAGAATAAGTAGAGTTCGATAAGCTGCATCGAATGGCGTTTGAACGAACGTTCTAGCTATTACACTTTCCGAGATAATTGAAGAAGAATGTGTCAAAAACGTAACAGCGTTACGTTTGGACAAGCCGATATGTTCACTTATCAAATGTTTTTAATTGATAAATAGTTTATTAAAATTTTTATGTTTTATGAGATATTAAACGACCACTTATACAATCACTAATATAACATTTTAAATAAATTCTGTTCACATAATAGTATAGCCTAGTATTTTATTTTTGCTCATTCTGTCTTTTCTCTTTTCATCCGTCGGCGTTTATTTAATGGAGCTAATACATTCGTAATGAAGTGACTAATAGTCCAAAAATGAATACATTCGCCAGGCATGTGCTCTTTAAATGAATAAACTTGAATTACAGATATGTATCGTTTAGTTAAACGTCGATTTAAAATAAATTGATAAAAAGATGTTATCTATAAAAGAAAGAATATGAAATAACAGATGAATAGCGTTCTGGTACTTTTCTATAAAGTTATTTTATTTCTAGAAAAATTAAAATGGATGTTTCATATAAAACTATAAAAAGATTCAATAACAAATTGATTAATAATCAATTAGACAACATTTTTATATTTATATGCACCTTTATCGTGCATACTTATCCTGAACAACAAGTAAGAAATGTATATTTTTTAGAAAAAAATATACATTTTATATTTTTGTAAGATCAAGCATAACATCATTAAACAATGTCGTAATCCTAACAATAATGAATATAATATAAGTTTAAAAATACATGGTTATAATATAAATTTTATGTTGTATCAGAACAATGAAGAAATTCATATCGATTCATTTGTAAGTAAATATAATTGATTAATACATAAGATGGAATTTTTTAATAAATTTCAGAATGATAAACAACAAAGAAAAAGCATTAATTTTAATGTGAACAAATATTGTTTATTAAAAAACAATAAATTAGCGTAAGATTTAACGTTTTTATTGTATGTATATGTCACATTATATATCAATATGTGTATTTTGTAACCTACAAAAATCAGAAGAATTGAATGAACTTTTTAGAAAAATTGATAAGATAATGTTAAATCACAATAATATGTTTAAACTTTTAAATTGAAGACGATAATCATAGTTTTCATTTTTTTTCTGTATAAATATTTATGCTCCATTGTCAATGATTTTTACACAATAATATTCTTCTCATTAATGCTGATAAATATCCATAAAATCAAAACAAAACAAATTAATAATGTCTAATGGTACACATAAAGTGAACTTAGTTTGTATGGATTTACTACAGAACTGAAATTTTTTTATCAACACATAATCATATTAATTTTTTATTAACATTGTTCGTCACAGAAAAATACAAAGCAAAAAAAAACTATTTTTTTTATTTGTAATATATTAATCATTCTATTATTGCAAAAGGAAAATAATCTTTACAAGATTTTGAATATTGGTCTGTATCAAGTAAAACTAATTCACTTATTTTGGTACAATTAATTCGTGTATCATCTCTTGTAAAATCATATGTTACTCTTTGTAATGCTTCATAATGACTCCAAAGAGTAATATTATTTTGAAAATATGTTTTCGTATCACACAGAAATTCTTCAATATAACAATCATGAGATCGATCTATATGAAGTTCAACAAGATAATTATATTTAACAATTAATAAATTCGATTCAGCATTCATTAATTTATAAGAATCTTTCTGATTTTGTTCATAACGATTAAAGATAGATAATTTTTCCATCAATGGAAATGATTGAGCAATTCGAATAAAAAAACCATGTTCAAAAGGCTGTTCATCATATAATGATACAACACGAACATATGGATATGAATCACCTGGAAAATTGTTTGATATATATTCGTAATAGTTCGTTAAAGATGGATATGTATAAATATGACATCGACCATATTTATAAGGCTCCAGAAAATAATCAACACAAGATATTATTTTAGTATTTTGAAAATGATTAAATGTTTGTTGAATGTCTTCTTTCGATGGTAAATTCATTTGATTCTTAATAGACATAGAAGAATAAATGTCAAATGTAAATTCATTTAATTGTAACATATGATTAAGTATATTTTCTTTCAAGCTGTTTCCATCAATAAATGTTTCTTCGACATTGACCGAAATATTCAAATCAAGTTTTTCTAAATTTGACGTTCGATAAAGTAGTGGTAAAATTAATTCATTGTAATACCATATTTT